GGACAATGTGTTCACTTTGAGTGGCATTTTACTTAGGGCATTCCTACAGGAGATGCAAAATCTGATACACAATGAAAAGCTTTTGTCACTCTTCAAAGCATCCAAACTCCCAGAAAACACAAACTTATGGAACTGTGCCTTACTTAAGTCTCTCTTGCAATACAAGGAGAGATACAGAGTTTTCCTGGTTAAAAAATGTTTGAATTTACACATACTTCAGTACTTTAGAGTGCTGGCCACACACACTAAAAGCTGCACAGTAAGCTGCAGAATGTTATCTGCATTACCAGGGTTCCATTTTAATTCTTCACATATTATTTTCCATTGTATAAATGAAAAATAATTGAAGTTAATATTCTGATTTTTTTTTTGAAGACTAAACTACATGTTATGATCTTGAACTGTGATTTACCACCCCTTTTTTCCCTCTTCAGCAGAGGTTTAATTTAGTTTCATTTACCTCATGTGCTTTGAAATATCCCAGAGACGTGAAGCTTCAGTTGCAATAAAAATACTTCTGCTGCATAATGTAATAAAAAAGGTGACATAAAAAATTAAATAAACCTTTCTTTTTTGAATGTGTGGATATAGGGGTTTCTTGCTTGCACCTCCCAGGAGAATAACCCTTCTCATTTTTATTCTGTAAAACACTTTGGCACCGAGCAGTTTTAGCTGATTTCATAGAATCATAGAATGCTTTGGAAGGGACCATAAGGATCATTCCATCCCCTTCTCCCACGAGCTGGGACACCTTCCACTAGACCAGGTTGCTCAGGGCCACATGACCTTGAACACTTCCAGGGATGGGGCATCCTCAGGTTCTTTGGGCAGCCTGCTCCAGTGCCTCACCATGCTCACAGTGAAGAATTTCCTCCTAACATCTGATCTAAACCTGCCTCTTTCAGTTTAATGCCATTACTCTGTGTCCTGTCTCTCTGTGCCCTTGTAAACAGCCCCTCTCCCTCTCTCTTGTACCCTTTGCCTGGAAAGCTGCTGTGGGGAAGCCCCAGAGCCTTCTCTCCTCCAGCCTGAATGAGCACAACTCCCTCAGCCTGTCCCCACAGCAGAGATGCTCCAGAGCTCTGATCATCCTCAGGGCCCTACTCTGGACCTGCTTCAAGAGGCCCACTTGCCTCTTGTGTTGGCAAGCCCAGAGCTGGATGCAGCACTCCAGGTGGGGTCTCAAGAGAGCAGAGTAGAGGGGGAAAATCCCCTCCCTCAACCTGCTGGTCACCGTCCCCTGGTCCTCACTGGCTGCACTGAGACAGATGGCCAACTGCTTTGCAAGAGAAATGCTCCTTCTTGCCAAAATCTGTGCTATGATACTAGGTATAATTAAGGGAAATGCATTTTATTGGACTGTGGAAGCTGAGAGGCATACAACAACATGTTCTGTGTTTATTTATGTTAAAGTTTACCTTTGGGTCAGCCAGCCAGGTGACCACTTTCAACTCCCAGGTACCTGCAGTGCACAGACCAGGGCTGGAACGGGTAGGTTCTGGCACACAAAGAAGAGTCAAAGTTTTACCTTCACTACTGAGTTGGCATCACCCAAGATTGCATGCCATAACCACTCTGCAATCTGCAGCTACCAGCACACTTCTCTTACTGTTGATTTATTTAGATAGCAGTTGATGGTTTAATAGTATTTAATTAAGCTCAGTACAGTTAAACCAGCTAAGCTTTGGCAGCCGCTTCTGTCATTGCAAATCAAACTTTGTATTGTGGGCAGGGGAATCAGGGAAACAAGATGAAAATTATCCCTTTTGCACCACCCCCTGGTATTTGGCAACAGGGCACTTCCCAATGCTGCTGCCCAATCTGAACTGTCTGTACTAGAATAACATTTTTCACATGACACACACTCAGCACATTTTTTAAACATCTCTAATGAAGCACAGCCATATGTATGTATGTGCATATTCACACATGTGCTCTAATACATACAGACATGTGTGTGCATGTTTATATATAAATATACACACATATTTGGCTATTAACACCATGGAACAGAAGTGTCTCTCTGAAAGTGATTATTTATTCCCAGACAAAGAGCTTCCTGCAAGAAGATCAGACCTATTAGCCTTCAATACTTTTGAACTTCTCCTGAACAAGCTTAAATCCCTTTTACATACTGGGTTAAATAAGAAATTTGTTGTCACTGTTTTGAGCAATAAAAATGGTTGCAAGAAGCTATGTGTGTTCCTGGTGGATCTGTAAGCCCTTTGAAAACAGTTTTCATATATTTTCCAGCAAAGCTGGACTGCCTTGTTCCAGATTCTAACACTACCCTGGGGGGATAAGATGTACAGTGTTTGCTTCGAGTTCTGCACGGATCCCAGGGAAAACAGACTTGCTCATCCTGGCTACAAATTTTTAAGTGAAAGGTTGAGCTGCTGCTCTGTGCTGTGCATGGGTCAAAAGAATCACTCAGATTTGCCAAGAGACAGAAGAATACTGTATGGTTTTCAGGGCTGGGATAAGGTGTTTCTCTGAACTAGTTCAGGAGATGCCATAATTCTTCAGTACCTGGGTCTCCGTGAAGGTAGGATGAGCATGTTGGTGCAACAAAACTGCAGCCTAAAGTTCTTAAAGTGCTGTATTTGCTAAGTAAGTTTGTGATAAGGGACACAATACTTCCAGAGATCTTAATCTGATTTTTTTTTAAAACCATTTGGTTTGAAACACAAGCTGGTATGAAGCTGGCACCACAGGAACTAAACAGTGAGCTTCCCCACAGTTATAAGCACCTATAAAATAATCTGTAAACTTTTAAATTGAGATTTGACAGAGGGCTTTAGTTTACGCCAATTTAAAGTACATAAAAATTCCCTCTGGCTTACATCTGTGAAGAGAGGGAGGATAAGAACAGTGTCAGCTTAGGAATACACGTGAGGCAAGATCACTCTCTAGAAATGCGTATTTACTAAATATTGTGAACTCATCATGAATACTTCAACTCAACAAATATTTGCTGAATCCTCTAATACAGAGGCCAAAGAAAGCTTTGGCAAATGAAAACCTGAATCGACTTAGATATAAAATCAGATTATTTGAGAACTGATGGTAAAGCTATAAAACACTATAAAACCCATCAAATGTCAGTGGGCAAGTGATAATTTTTGCCAGCTGACCTCTTCACCAGCTTCTCACACTTGGGAATTGTTTTAACCTTTTACATTTTCACTTGTTCCTATGTATATTGATATATTTTGGGACCTGTGGAGTAGTCTGTTTAATCTTGAGAAACCAAGCCTGCAGATATCACATGTGGGAGCTCCATGTGATCCTGGATGTTCCTGTGCTTTGACAGCTTCTGGCACCTGCCCGGAAAGAGGGTGTTCTGCCCAGTTAGTGAGAACTGATTAAAAGAGAAACTGAGGTGAGCTCTTACACACAAACAGTGAAGAGCAAGGCAGCAGCAAAGGTTCCTCCAGCATCACCAAATCCTCCCGAGGCACTCACAGCACTAATCCTTCCTTCCCACTAGTGGCATTTCCACCAGCACCACTCCTGCACCCAGCGCGGTTCCGCTCACTATCAACACCTTCCCGTGCATTTACAAGGCGTGGGTGGGGTGGAGTAACAGGGCTCTGCCCCACACTTCAGACCAGGACGTAGCTGGCAATTTAGCACAGATGAGTAACTCAACAGTTTATTTAAATGGAACACATTGGAGCTGAGGGGTAAATAATTTTTTCTGTATTTTGAGTTTTATAACAGATAACACAAAATGATATAAACACTTAAAAATGCAAAAATAGTGCAAAATTACTTCTGTGATAATTCAAGAAAAATGTTGGCAACCAGCAGCATTTTACAACCAACAATAGGAAACAGATCAGGCAAAACACTAATTTATATAGCATGGCAGAAATGCAACTAATCTACAGGCTTTTCCCTGTAAGACAGGAGAAAGATCAGTTACATACAGTCAAACTTAAGAAAGGTAACTAAACTGCAGCATTTGAAAAGTAGCCTTGTATACCAGCTTCCAGACAAAATGTAAATATAATTTTCTTGCTGCATATTGCACTAACTTCTTTTATTATTTGTCTTGGCTTGCTGTTTTGTGGTTTGTTTTTTTTTTTTGTATTATGTATGAGAAAATTACATTGCTGAAGAGCTCACTTCCTTTTTAAACACTGGCACCATGAAATTAGAGCTATGTTGACAGTCACCATTCCACAAAAAAACCCAAACAAACAAAAAACCAACAAAAGTTGTCATAGTAGTAGGACAAAATCCAACTTGGAAAAATGAAGTGAAGAGAAATACAACTATTGGAACATAAACATAAAAAACCCAAATTCATGAAGGGCATAAAGTCCCATTGTATCAAGCCCTTTAGAAAAAAAGATTTGCAAGTGTATGTCCAAAAGAAGTGTTAAACGACAGTTCTGTAAGATTTGGGTTTAGGAGCTAGTGTGACATTCGATTCTTATTTTCCAGTTAACATAACAATATTCACTTCAAAGAAGTGATTATGAGGCAACAATCCTATATATGTGTATATATTTGTATCTGCACGTTGAAGTAGGTCACTGAAGTCACACTTACAGTAATAAAATTACTGAAAGGGCAACTACAAGTTCTCTATGAACTCCTGAAGAATGGGGTTGTCAATCAAACTTAAAAAAAAATATTTTACAGAGCAGTTTCATATCTGAAAAGTCATCAAGAAATACAACAAAAATTGAGTCAAATCCAGCCTTTAAATTATTCCTGTAAGAATAAAATTATTTCTTTTTTAATCATTTGACTTGACAAGGAAAACTTATTTGGGAATGTTTTACTGATTAATCAAACTGGCCCAGACACTGTAACAAAGAATGATATATTTTATCTTAAAACCCAACTAGAAACAATAATATAATTTGGAGCAATTATTAACTGTGTTAGCAAGTAGCAGGACATACAAAATGTGATTAAAAAACCAAACAATTTAGTTAAATTTTCAAATGCGTTACAGGCTTATTAACCTGAACTGTCTGAAGAAGTTGATGATACATGGATTCACTTGACTGTATTTAACCCTCAAATTTTCCTCCAGAAACAGCTACCAATGACAAAGAGCAAAATACACAAAGTTCAGAGATTCTCAAGTATGTTACTGCCCCCTTGGAAACCTGAATGGAGGAAAACACAGAAGAAGTTTACATCATAGAAGAAAACAAAAGACAACTCTATGACTAATATAGAGGGAAAAAAATATTGCTGTATTCCCATATCTGTATTTACATTCTGTTCACAAAGCTTGGGTTCAGGGCATTCAAATTAAATGTCTGCATTTTTATACAGAACAAGGAAGAATTCTTTCCATCATAAATATGTGGTATTATGCACATATATGTGCACACATATGCACAAAGGATATTCATTATTTCTCTTAGATCTTGGCTTTTTAAATTTAAAACCCTCAAAATATCACATCCAGTTGTGGTGCTGGAAGAAGGAAGTTCTGTTGTAAAAATTTATTCACACTTTCTTAACCTTTGGCTGAGGTCAGGTAGCTAAACCACATTCTTAACTCTACACCAAAGTAAGACATGGAGTATTAAGATACCATTCATTAGCATTTATAAATGGTCAACCATGCAATAAATTAAGTACTAACCTGAATCAATCCCACAGAAATGGAAAATGGACAGGATAACAGAAAAAATATTGCAATAGTAACTCTTTTTTTGTACTGAGGAACCATCAACCTACTGATGTACACAGTCTAAAGGTTATTTCTGTTACTAGATTTGATTAGGCTATTTCCCCCTATAATAACAGAAATTACTTTTTCATTGAAAGATTGAACATTTTCAGAATCTTTTTTTTTAATGAAACCAAATATTTTCACTACATAGGAAAGATACTATTTTAGCTTACAATTTCACACGAAGAAAGCATTTGAAAGACAGCTTTGTGGAAATTCCTGTAAAATAGCCTTCAAATTATAAGATAAATTCCTAAATGTTGCCTTGAGGGATGCATCTTTTAGAAGAAATAGTCCAATAGATCTCAGCCCAAAACTGCTGAGAATTTTTTAATATCATTCCAATTGTGTGTACCTTGTACCTTACTCTTATATTCACACAATATCCTGACAGTAATAGCAGCAAGTACTTTCAGGTGAAATCTTGCTATTGTTTATTGTCTGTGATGAATTTTTATCTTTGCATTTGCTAAATGAAATTTGGCAACTGAAACCAAAAGTTAGTGGTATCTCACTGCAACACAGGAGCAGAACAACAGGAAGAGTTTTGCAGATCAGTGGAAAAAGCTTGGAAGCTTCAGAGTTGATATTTTTAATATGTCTGTTCTTCCACCAACAATTGCAATACCGCAAAAGTTTATTTTAAAACACCTTTCTGTAGTAGTATGTGCTGTCCTTTGGAAGCTCTGCACTTCTGATTTGTCTTAGAAAACAAATTTCCCTTTCACAGTAGTTTTTGACCGTGAAAATGATAGGGTGACTTCCATTAATAAAGAACTAAGCTTGAGACTCTTAGTATTAGAATCAGCTTCTTAAAATGTTAAATACTTCTCTCACATTGCTTTATTAACACACTCCAACAAAACAAAGAAAAAAAATTAGAATTATGCTGTGATTTCCTGGACAAGTCAAGAGGCTGTGCAACTTGGCACATAAGTCATAAAAACTAACCCTTTTTGTGAGATAATTGTAAAAAATGCTTTTTTTGTCATGAATTATAGAACAAAGTCCTTCCTGCTGACTACATCACTGAATTCCAGTGTAAGGACTTCTCACACATAAATCTTGCTGCGCAGTAAATTTGAAAACTCACAAGTTATTCCCAAGTGTTCGAATGAAAACATGCACTCTGAATGCATGTGTAGTAATACATAATAAAGGAATTTAGAGCCCAGCTTTTCAGAATCAAAACTGTAGGCAAGAGTCCAATAGCAGAAGTTGTTTTAGCTCTAATTTTCTTTTTAAATCATCAACACCAATGAAGACCCCTTACCAGTGGGATTCTTGGAAATCATATTTTAAACACTGTATGGTAAACACTGTTTTCTCTCAAGGGTTTAAGCATTATCTACCATGATCAACTTGATGCTGTGGCATTTAATTCATAAATAAGAAAAAATAAAAAGAATTACAAAAATAAAGTTCCAACCACTCTCAGAGACACCATTTCTGCTCAACAGTCCTCAGTGTAAGTCACAGAATCTGGACCTGTGGATATCTGTGCTGATCACTAGAACAGATCACCTCTGAAGAAGGACCATGCCTGAACTGCCTGGCTCGAGGCAGGAGAGATGAAATGCTAAACCCAGGGACAGAATATGCTGAACGCCAAAGTGTGAAGGCCAGAGATGGAAAGCTTCCATCCATACCAGAGATTTTCTTTAGGAAAAGCAGACAACTAATATATTTGTTCACTGGAGGAAATACATCCCAACAAGGAAAGGAAGGACATGAAGTGCATCCCTGAGACAAAATGCACATTTGGCTACTTGTTATCACTTCCACTTAAGCTAAAAGCGAGATTAAAAGATTATATTTATATACAGTTTATATTTTGCATCTTTATTGCTCTGACTTTCTATTTGCTTTGTATAATATACATTTTTTGTGCTGCTATGTCTGTGTGACCATCTTGCTTCCATCAATATTTTAATCTAATAAATATACTTCCATTAATCTCTGAAACAGTTAACTGTATAGGCTACTCTTTCCTGCATGTTTTACTACTGATAACTTGTGAGAGGCATTTGGTCCTTAAACCTGGTGAGCTCCTTATACTATGTCCTGATGCTGTTTTCTTGATATTCAAAGGAACATTCAAAGGACAAGCTTGTTTTATCCAGCAAGACTATTACTGACAACCACCCACAATGTGGGTTGAAATATCCTGTTACAAAACTAAATTTATTCAGTTGTTATGACAGACAATTTTGTCCTGTGGTTAGATCTTGGCAATACAAGAGCATTTAGCCACATTTCTTGTGATGATATCAAATAATATACACAGCTCCACTTTAATGGTCTTTGGTTTAAACTTCAGTTCAGATTCAAGGGAAACTTTGAAGCCCACAAACCAGGCTTATTTTAGACTGGGAGAAAAATGAGCCCTCAAAGTACAAATTTATGTAAAACTCTAAGTTCTAGTAAGTACAAACTGCCTTTTTTTAAACATTGCTTGTTTCACAAAAAAAGCACAATGCTTTATTTGCTAGTGTCCTTTGCAATTTAGTTACCTCAGTTACCTCATGAGTTTGCTCTAGAAGCCATTTCTACAGTAAAGTGATTCTTTTGTAGACAGCTGATATCATCATCATGTTGACAGAAAAATGAGCCACTCAAAGTACAAATTTATGTCAAACTCTAAGTTCTAGTAAGCACAAAATACCTTTTTTTAACATTGCTTGTTTCACAAAAAAAATAAAAAGCACAATGCTTTATTTGCTAGTGTTCTTTGCAATTTAGTTACCTCAGTTACATCATCAGTTTGCTCTAGAAGCCATTTCTACAGTAAAGTAACTATTTTGCAGACAGCTGATATCATCATCATGATCCAAAAGTGCAGGAACTATTACAGACATGCGATATTATTTTAATAAAAGAAAATATTTTAAATTTCTAATAAACGTACCCTGTTTTCTTTCAATGCTCCAGAACACCTTAAGTAGAAGTTTTACTTCTTTTGGCTCTCTTTAACTTTGAATAACCTTCTTCTTTCTGCTTAGAAAAAACAGACAAACAGAAAAGGGCAAAAGCCAATAAAGCAAATGAAGCAGCAATACTAAGCTAAATATTCAACTATAAAAAAAATGTTTCTGAGTGAAATGCTTAGTTGAATAAGAGGTAATTAATAACAATTTCTGTTTTCCAATATAAATAATTTAAAGTATGATTATAAGTAAAGTGGCTAAATAATTAGGACCATGGCTAGTTTGAAAATACCCTTTACATGCTGGTAACCATGACTTTCAAAACCAGCTATCATTTCTGATGATCAGTAATGACAAAGGTTGATTCTTCAGAGATGTGTTTAGCAGTGTCCCCAATTAGCACCATCATATTTTAATCTGGGGACAGGAGGAATCAGCCTAATGAGCATCAGAGAGTCCATCCCAACCCAAAGAGACTTGTCTTTCCTATTCCTGACACACCAATGAAACTTCGTGAGAGCTGTGCATCCACCTCTCTTGAGTCCAGCAGTGGCAGCACTGCAGTGGCAGTGTGGCAGTGAGAAATCGCTGCATCCTGACACTTCCCAAAAGTAGCTTGCAGGGCTCAGGCAGGTATCTGAGCTACTCAGAGCCTGCCTGGAGAGTGAGGAATGCACGGGGCACTTGTGACTCCTGACTAGGCCAGGGCAGTGCCCCTTCCCCATGCCAAGACTGCTGTCAGGCCAGCTACAAGCTCTCCATGCTCACAAGCCCTGCTGTGTCTGAGTCATTCCCAGCAGCAGGCAAAGGACTTCATTAATTCGTATTGTGGTGGGTCTCCCTTCAACACCCAGACCCCTGGAGTTGTTATTCCTATAAACAGCTAATTTTAGTTGCTGGTTTTCTTCTCTTTGTGAGAGTGACTCCGCTGCTGTAGCACTGCAGTGCTGGGCCTGTAACCCCTGACTGGGTTGTGGCCCTGTGGAAGGGCCTTTCCCAGCTGCAGAGGGATGGGGCCAGCTCAGAGCAGCTGGGCTGGCGCTTCCCACACAGACTGCTCTCTTCCGTGCTGCAGCTCAAGCCCTGGGGTGTGAGCGTGTTCCTGCAGCAGGCCCCTGGGGCTGCTGCACTGGCCTTTGCTGATCTGCACAGACTGTGTTCCTTCAGTTACAGTTAAAATGTCCAGAAGTGCCTTGTAATTGGCTTTAAAAGCATAACAAAACAAGAAGTCATTTCTACAGAATGTTGCTAAATTCAGGTCCTTGAGATGAAAAACTCCCAGAGCCATTGAGAATGCCCAGAGTTATACTGGGCAGGGTAGAACTTTTCTGCAGAATCAGAAAATCTGCTTCAGAAACAGCAACATCATTAAACATTTCAGTAGCATCTTTTGCTGGAGACAAACATTTAAAATGAACTCTTCAAGTGACAGTATCATATCTGATGGTTACTGTTACTTTTATCCTGGTTAAGGTTAATTTTATCCAGAGAGGTCCGTAAGATTTCTTAGCCTGCCCAATTTAATTGGAACATACTAAAATTTTTAAAATATCTTTTTGTCCCTTAATTCACATCCTTCTGGACTGGATTAAGGAGTGTATATGTGTGTGGGGTTTACCTGTCTTCTTCTGGCACAAGTTTTCTTTACAGATGCTTCCATGTTGCTCTCCTTGACTGGCAAAGTCGGTTTTGAGGTCAGTGTTTCACATGTCAGATACTTGTTCCCTGTAATCATCTTAAAGTACAGAAGTTTATACCCTCATTAAAAAAAAACCCCACATTTTGAACAACATCTCTAACTTTTAAAATTACCCTCTTTTTCAAAAGGGGCCCTCATCACACAAAGCTGATATAACCCACCAAATTACGTTGTATAGGTGAAAAACATGATAAGCCCAAAACATTTAATCCATGTACCCAATATATGGAATATCATGATCATAAAAATTGCACTGAAATCAGCTCAAGTATTTATTTGATTGAAATGCAGAGAGACGAACAGAAAAAATAGGTGGTAAAGTACTTCTAGCTGGCACCTAATCATAACTTTTACCCAAAAAAGAGCTAACTTCAAAGATAGATCACCCTGCTTTAGGTCCCATTCAGTCAAGTTCTGAGAATATGGAAGGCTAACAAACCCAAAAACCTCCCTCTGCAACTTGTTTCAACAACTAGTAAGCTACTAGAAAGTAGCTTACTAGTTGTTCTCACACAGGATTTTTTCCTCGTGTCCAGTGGGATTTTTTTTGCTGTTGCAACTTTTGCTTTTTGTGAAATTGTAATTAAACTTGTATTTGCAAAACTTCTGTGTTTGTTCAACAGCACAATGCCTTACACACAACTACTGTCAGCACTACACAATTGATGAGGTTTGAGATTCCTTCCATGAGGAAGGAATTATTCCATTAATATGGTTTTATGTGGAGAGAGACTGAACACGAAAAAAATGTCACCATGTTAACCTCACACAGACCTGGATAAACTGTCTAAAACAAAGGAAAGCTAATTACCCCACCATAAAAGTCTCAAATTAAAGAGGTGTTTATTTCACAAAGCACAGTAAATCATCTTCACCTTCAGAAAAAAAAAGGCAAAAAAAAAAAGCAGCAACATTAAGTTATATGGTAGAATTTTAGAAAACTATATTGAGAACAATGGTAGAACATGATGAAAGTCATGCTTTTTATTGCTTAATGTTGTTTTTGAATTTGTGAGAAGCAGTGAGAATGAGCCCTTTACCTGTTCAAACTTAGGTTTCTCAGCAGTACAGTCCTGAGAGTGGCATGCTGCTTTGTTTTCTTCACTTCTGGCCACGCACACTGTATCTTTGAAGACAGATTCATTAATATTTAACCCAGCTCCTTTATTTGATCTCTTTGTTTGTAGCAGTGACAAACTGGAATTTGTCATTTCATTGTCTGATTTACAAATCTGCAAATGCACTTCCATTGACTGGTGTTGTTTCTCAAGAAATTGAGCAGTATTTTGACCTGTAAACTTTTTCCCCCTTCTTGCACTGGAAGTAGAAGATTCATGTGTGTTCAGGCATGGACTGGTGTTTGATTTCTGAAGCACTGGCCCAACATTCTTAAGAACAAATGGAGAATTTGCCTTTTTGTGATTGACTTCACTTGGACTCCCACCTGAAGCTGAGTTTTCAGAAAAATCAGAGTTAGTAATTTGTCCACTAGACTGGGTTTTCCATCGGAATATGGGTGTACCATGTTTTGTGTGTGTTTTCATGCTCTTTACCTGAAGCACGCTGCTGTCAGTAGGAGTTTTGACTGGCATATTTTGAATGTGTTTGAAAACCTGAGTTATGCTGGATTTGTGCACAGACAGCAAAGAAGATGAAACACCCACACTTTTTATTGGTGAATGCCTTTCAGCATTTTCCTTTTTCTTCCTATCTGTTTGATTTGTGATCTTTCCATTCATTTGCATCAACTTGCCTTTGAAAATTGGTATAATTTTGCTGACTTTTGGGAGCATGGATTCAAGGGCTGAGTTTACAGATGTTCCTAAAGATTTTGCAGCTGGTAACTCTGGTACGCCTGGTATTTGCTTATTGCTCGTTGCTTTCTCTGTTGCTTCAATGCTAACCCCTCCTGGAGTCTTGCTGCCACTCGAAAATCTGTGTGTTCCTGGCTCTTTGATCAAACGCTCCATCCAGTGGCTGTTTTCCGTACTGCACGGTGAAGGAATTCCAGGCAAATTAGGTTTTCTTGGAGGAGCCTCCGATAGAGATACTACACAAACCATCTCACCGTCCAATTTCGTATGCTTAGGTTTTATTTCCTGCAACATATCAAGAGCTGCTAAATTGAATAAACTGGATTTAACGATCTGATAGTGCCACCTAATGCCTCGCTATATGGTATCAGCCTAATGCACACCACAATATATAAGAATACAATTTTGTGGTTTGGATTAGAATGACTATATTTTAAAACAATATTTAATTGCCACTATAAATTAAGGGGGTTTTTTAAATCCTCCCCGAGTTCTTTGTTTACAAACGATGCTAGAATATAATATTTCTCAGAAGGAAAGACTTAAATTACAGTAATTATCTTGGTTTAGTGATTTCCAAATGGATAATGAACCCCCTTTTGAGGGGTTCTGCAGAGGGTTTGACTGACAGGGCTCCTCATCTCTTCAGACTTCTAAGAGCATCTGTATTCTGAGCAAAAGACAGTTTGGATGTCTGTAAAAACCGCAGATGACACGGAGGACCCATTCTAGCTTTGATCACTGGAGAGACATAAACAGAAACTGCTTTCTGAAAGAGGATTATAGTATTTTAGAACCTCTGCAACTCCTGTCACTATTATTTGTTCAGAATTAATTACTTCATTTCTTCTATCACACACCACTACCAAAGAAATTTGAGCCTTAGTCTTCGTCACAACCTCAAATTGTAGGAGTTTTGATTACTTGCTTCCTTTCCATCACCAGACATGGAGTAAATCTTACAGCTTGAGTGTTTTAAAATGCTTATACCCACACAGACCTCTTTTTATTTTTAAATAAATTATAATATTATATGCTGCTAGTAATAATAATAATAGAATCATGAATGGCTTGGGTTGGAAGGGACCTGACAGATCATCTAGCTCCAGCCCCACTGCCATGGGCACAGACAACTTCCACCAGACCAGGTTGCTCAAAGCCCCATCCAGCCTGGCCTCGAGCACTACCAGAGATGGAGAATCCACATATTTGGGCAACCTGCTCCAGTGCCTCACCACGCACCACAAAAATTTCTTCCTAATATCTAATCTATATCTACTCTCTGTCAGTTTAAAGTCTGTCATTACATGCCCACGTAACAGTAACAATAGTAATAATGTTACTGTCATTATTTTTGTTATAACTGTTGTTTTTATTATTATGGAAGATAATTGAGAAAGTTCTGGATATCCAAATGTAAAAAAAAAAAAAATCTACAGAATTGCAAATACTGATAGCAACTAATTAAGACACACCACAAACATTTCTTCCTAATATCTAGTCTCAATCTACCCTCTGTCAGTTTAAAGTCATTCCTCCTTGTCCTGTCATTACATGCCCGTGTAACAGTAACAATAGTAATGTCATTATTTTTGTTATAACTGTTGTTTTTATTATCATGGAAGATAATTGAGAAAGTTCTGGATATCCAAATGTAAAAAAAAAAAAATTCTACAGAATTGCAAATACTGATAGCAACTAATTAACACCAAGTCTATTTTTTTAATGTATTTGTAATGTTAGTAACAACTTTACAATGGCAAATACTGGAGCTCTTACTTACACGATAATTAAAAGTTACAGGATGGATAGTTTGTTGTGAAAAGCATAGTTATATGCTCTTACTGTGCTCTGAATATGATAAAGACCACTTCCTGCAATGAAAAAGTATGTGATAGTTTGTTGTGAAAAGCATAGTTAAATACTGTGCTCTGAATATGATAAAGACCACTTCCTACAATGAAAAAGTATGTGCCACTAATACGTTCACAAAGAAAGCCTTACATGCACTGAAGCCCTGGAGAGTTCCTTTGTGGCATAAAGTGCTTTACTTGTCATCTTTACTGGATATCCACACAGCTGTGAAAAATTGCTCTTCATGTCAGAAAGAAAAGAGTTCACTACACTTTCTGCATCTGTTCTGGGGAAATACTGCACTGGCTGACTTCGGATGCAACTTAAAGGGTACCTGAGTAAGTGTTCAAGGATACATAACAAATTTCTTTACTTTTCTATAATTATTAATCATCTTTGCTGAGAAGAAAACAAAGATTTGTCTAAATGTTTTTGAAAACAGTGAACAAAAGCACTAAATTCCTTTTTGGCCTGAAGTTTATAAAGCTACAGGACTTCAGCACAATTACACCACTCTAACCTACAACAGCAAAGATTACTCAATATAACTAATCCTTAGTCTAGTGTTTCCTGGCAGGAAAATTCTCTCTAAAAGGAATTTTTGTTGGTCACAGTTTTACACAATTTTACTTTCTTTTACACACTTCCTTTAACATCACATTTAAAGTGGCATTATCACATTTATGGAAGCCAAGAAGCAAACTGTTCTATTTGACTTCCTATTATTCAATACTGGGACAGAGACTTTACTAAACATTTTGTTTTCATTTTTCTAATAAAACACTTCTCTACTGACTGCTGTGAAATTATGAGAGAAAGAAATGTGCACATTGAAAAATGAAAAGCAGAGCTTTGCTAGAAGTGTGAGAGGAAACATAACAAATATATTCTGAAAGGATACGTGAAGAACCTTTCCCCTATTGGTTTGAAGTAAACACTCAAGTATATTTTTGTCTCTTCAAGATCCTCAGGAAGAATATATCCATACTTAGATAAACCAAATACAAACAGGTATTACAAGGACAAGCTCAACAGGCAAAAAATGGGAGGGAAAAATGAAAGCAGTGTATGTGTTTCTTACCAGACTCTTCCAGTGCATCTGAAAATCCTTATATGAACGGAAAGGGGATTCTGGAGGAATTATGTGGCTGATGTTTATGATCTGACCCATCTTCATGCTGTGCACAGGTAAAGAAGGGGTGCTTAGAAAGGGTGTCATAAAATCCAGTTGAAAATATACTGGTCTTTTTGGGGAAAAAAAAAAATCTTATTTTTGGCATTCAAAGTATTTAGAGACTATTTTTATGTTTTGAGGACTAATATCTTTAGCTCATAAGTTTATGACATAACAATAGCAATATTTCCTGAAGGATGGTAAAGAATAAAGTGACAACTACAAATGACATTTCTCTTCAATACTCGCTAGCAGTGAATGCAGAACAAAAGCAAACATCATCATTACTCCTCTTTTATTTAATGATGAAAAATCTTAGGCAAAAATGGAGGTGGTTCAAGGCAAAGGTGGAAATATTTTTTCTTTAAATTGACTTTCTGCTAAAATTGTATTTAAGAAAAACTGATGCTCTTGCTTACTATAAAAGTAGCACAAAGATTAGTAAAATTGAAATAGTATTTAACTGTGTAATTTATGATTTGTTGGTTAATTTTCTCATTTTTCTTAACAATGAGATAATAAAAACAACAAATTTTTAAATTTAAAACAGTCTGTAAAACAGAAGTGTTCTTATCACTAGCATCAAATTCACAATTTGTAGGACAAACATTCTGAGAAATGTTTATTTCTGCTGAAATGTGAACAGATTCCTACCTTGGCAAAACATAGCACCAGTTACTTAATATGGAATGTTGCTGAATAACTGTGTTTTCATTGCTGTCAAACAGCTTTACGGTGTTTGCTGGAATATCAAAATCTGCCAGCTTAAAACAGAAAAGAAATTTTATTTGCAAATAATTCTACAGCAGTACAAATTTAAAATTTTCTAAAATAATTGTGTATCATGATACAATGAAACCTGATATATTATTATTCTTTCATCAGCTCTCACAGATTGATTATTTCAGAAGATCTTCCCATCATCAAATTGCACATGAGCTTATGTTAGAGCCTACACTTCCACAAGCCATGCAAGTACAAGGTTTAACGTTTATTGAAATCAGTGAGATTTAAACTTTATTTGAAATGGTTTAAAAGGAGTGTAGAAGGAATTTCTCAAACTGAGCTATCTCACTTCAATGCACATTTTTAAAAAGTTCAAATCAGATACCTGTGCTTGACATTCTAGTAACTGTGTGTGTCACTTTGCCTAAACATGGGCAAGTATCCAAGGAATAGGAATAATGGGACATGCAGTTTCATCCTCTAAGAAGCCAAAAAACACCACACTTTTTCACAATGTCAGAATTTGACTCTAACGAACAATCAAAAACGGAGATTTGAGAAGCATTTTATCTTTCTATAACCTATGAAGTTTTGCATTTATTCACTGAGAAGAAAATCTGGCCATTCCTGTTTTAGAAGAGTATTGAAAGGATCAAATCCATAATAAAGCCACATCATGTTTTCCATCATTGGTCTATATAATTTGGGAACTGGCTTCTTACAGATAGCTTTAATATTTATGATGTCCCAAGCAGGTCTCGGAAGAAATCCTATTCTTCTATTTCAACAAAAAAAAGAGCTTGAATCAGAAATATTTATTTTAGAAGAAACCAGTAAGCCTGATAAATATGCCCAGCATGTATGGATGTATGGATATACTCACCACAGGTGGCATGGCTGTCAAAAAGGATAATAAGTTTTCAACTTCAACCAGGATTTCTTAAACAATGTATATATTAAGCTTACAAGCAGCATAGTCCTGGCTGCTCCAATATTTTGGAAGCTGGATAGAAATTAAGCAGCTTCCAAGATAACCATATAAAGGGGCCTTGAACAGCAGTTGCTCTGTTGTTACTCAGAACTGTCCATGTACTACAGTGTGACCAAAAACTTTCTAGAAAACACTGCTTGAAGGAAATGTAGAATCACAAAGACACTTCACTGCTATATTCTGTTAGCTTTTTGAAAGCTCTCTCAGCCTTGAATCTCAGTTTTACAATGCTTGCTAGAATGCACCAATACAGATACAATATGGATGTTATGCTTTTATAACCTGTGCAGATAGTCAGTGGGTATGGTTAACGTCTCAATGCAATCAGAAACAAGCACTTCTATCCCCATCATGCTAACTGCAAGTCACCTAATAGAAAAGATTAAGATTAATAAAACAAACACAGTCATAGAAAATATAACTGGCTTTTACCTCGGGGGGTGGCAGCCGAACTGAGCAAGGCTCCACACTGATGCAAAGCTGTCTCTCTGACACATTGAGGTCTATAACTAAATTGGAAAAAACAAAAAAAGCACAATGCCCTGTTTTGAATTACAGCTCATCTTTTAGGCAGAAAGCTAAGCCAAATATTTATTTAAGGTAATTGTTAGTCAAAATGCTGTGTTTGAAAATCCAAAGGCTAGACTTTCTCAGCACAGAAATTAAATTAGGTGCATTTTAACTGCAAAAAATAAAAGTAATAATGAATTCGTGTCATACAGTAACTCAGAAACTCAAGGCTGGCTGTGAGACTGTGTGCTTGATCCTCAAATCCTTGACAAGCAAACACCCATTTACAACACAAATGCAGTTCATATATAACCATTTGCTGCACTGAGTCATTCAGCACAGTATTTTTCATCCAGGAACTGTCAATAGGAAAGATTAAATGAGCAAGGCAAGCATTTATGGACACACCTCCAGAACTTTCACTCAGTTCTGAGCTCTTCAACATATATCTCTGCTACAAATTTAGGCTGCAATAGCGCCAAATGTAGTCTTTAACTTTTATACTGGAATAAAAGTACCACTTTGTAAATTTTGCAATAGCTAACCAGCATGCTTTGTGATTTCACTTTTGTGAACAGCAAACTGTACATACTGGACAGGCACCATAGCTCATTTTCCTATCTATTATTATAGAACTTCCACATCACTTGCAAGACTCATAATTTAAGGCAAGTGCATTTAATTGCAATAATTATAACTTCAAAATGGCAAATGTCAGTCTATGGCTGTAGATTAATAGTATAAAATTATCTTTGTAAGTAATTTTTCAAAGGTTCTGTTGAGCTGACAACTATTACAGACAGAACATCACCTGCCACCAAGAGTATTTTGACAGAAGTTATTTCAGAATGAAAACCAAAGACCCTGTGCTGGCAATACCAAGACTGTGGCAGTATGAAAGTGCTTAACTTTACCTTGCTCTCTCAATTTTACCATTAACAGAATATTGTACTTACCAACAGCATTTTGCCTTCCTGAATGAGACAAAAAGTCTTTCCCTTAATAAACAGAATAGACAGACATTATTTTCTAAACCATGTCTCAAGACTTTATGTGAAAAAAAAGAAAAGGAGAAATCACACAATTTTGTTTCTATCACAAATGCTGAAAGTGTGTTCCTTTTAAGGAGATAAAATCCCCTATATCAATTAACTTTTCACTGATTCAGTAACATCTATAAGAAAGAGAGATATGTAAAGGTATATTAGTGGGCAGCAATCTATACATCACTTTTTCCTTCTAACCCTCTGCTTCCAAAAATATTTGGTTTCATCTTGTATGCTGCATTCAGTTGACATAATTATTTCATCTATTACAAAGATAAGGAAGAAGATGAAAAGGTGAATGGCATGTCCATTCAGAATATTAACCTGAGTCATTTAACTTGGATAACAAAACAATAAAAGTGAAAATAAAGAAAAAAATTAATAGGATAAAGGAATGAAACTATTTATTATAATGCATGAAATAATTATGGAATTTAAATGATGGAAAATAAATGTTACAATAAAGAACTGAAAATTAAATGCTTGATCCCTGACCCAAGTGAGTCAAGTACCTTGCACCAAGAGATGACCAGCCTTGTTCCATCTAGGTGCAAGCCTGGCTGTAAGTGTGTAGGAGAGACAGGTTTGGAGAAGGGCTGGAGTAACTGTTTGCGGTGCTTCCAGCTAATAACAACAGTGACAAAAAGAAACATACATTTTTAATAACTTAACAGATTTTTTTAAAGGCCTCAGTCAAAATTTAAGCAAATATACTGCTACTTCATCTTGGAGCCAAATCCTCGTATGTGCCACACATGTTTAGCTTTCATCTACTTTGCTTCAAGAGGAAGTTAGCACAGTATTTGATGCAGGCATTTGGATTTCACGCGCCATTAACGTGAGGTGCATGACAGTTCCTAGAATGCTTTCACAGGGCTGATAACAGACTTGGGGAAAAGATAATTGAACCCTCTGGAGCACTTTACTAATATGCAACTCCCTCCAGGCAACAGGCACAACATTCAAAGCTGACATTATCTCTGTTGTCACAGTCAAGACCAGAGACATTTTCTGGCAGTCACAGTAGATAAACGCAGCTTTGCTCACCCAACAGCTCTACTTGCCTGCCTGTCCTCAAGAGCTTCCTCTTGACCATCAGCAGTAGCCAAGAAACTAACTACAGTAGGCTAAAAAGAGTTAAGTAATACACCTCCAGAGGGATGTTTCCAATGAATCCTGCAAGGAACTGCTTGGTGTTGGGAAACCTAAAAATGACAGATCACCTACACATATCAACATAAAGCAGTTCTGTAAGGTAAGCATATTTGAACAGTATATGTCTTACTAATCTGCATATGCATTTGCACTTCTTGGAACAAATTAAGATACACCCAGCTGGCTGTGCAAATGAATTATGAGAGCTACTGGCTTTGGCTACAATCAGTCTTCTGATTCACCAATCTTACTGCATCCACATGTACATTCATAAACCCCACAGATGTTGCATAATAGAAGATTGTAAATCATATGCATAATGGTCTAAAATATATTAGCTGTTAAGCTCAGGGTTCCATTTCTTCTCTATGCTTTTGTTTTGTTTCCCTGAGACTGCCCTGTGCAGGCTGGGTAAACCCAAAGGTGAATGGGGAGACAGTTCAGCTGCCTGAACATTCCCACTGGATGAAGGGCATGACACCAGCAGGAGAGCTGCAGGTCTGTGGCCCAAAGGTTGTCTCAAGATCAGTCCCCAATGCCTCTGAGCAAGAGCAGGATGCCACTGCAGCAGAGAAATCTAGAGGTATTGCTCACAAACTTCTAAAACCTGTTGAGTCTGACAAAGTATATTTACTATACCCCAATTCACAGGACACATTTTGTCTATGGGGCAGACTTAGTAACCCTGAAACTCGGCTTCTGTAGTGAAAACTGCAGGGCCTATGAAAAATACTCATCTCTGGCAAGAGCAATTGCAGACAAGTGTAACAGCCTAGAGAACTGTGTCATATTTCAGCACTTACAGTAGCTAGCAAACTGCAGGGCCAATGAAAAATACCCATCTCTGGCAAGAGCAGTTGCAGACAAGTGTGAGAACTGTGTCATATTTCAGCACTTACAGTAGCTCCGTGTCTCTCTGCATAGGCTTGACATATTCCTGATTCATAAAATGGTATCTAAAAGTAACAATAAAAAAATAAATAAGTGTTAAGCAAATGCTTTATCCTGTGTTTTAAAGGAGAAAACTAAAATTAGCTCAGGCATTTGTCATCATCAAGAGTTTGGTATTAAGCATAAGTTAAATTCTGGTACAACAGTTACTTTGCCTTTTAAAATCATGCAAGGGTGTGTGTTTTAAGTGTTAAGCAAATGATTTATCCTGTGTTTTAAAGGAGAAAACTAAAATTAGCTCAGGCATTTATCATCATGTAATCTCATTTCCAGATAAAGATACATTTACAAGCAATACAAGTGAGCCAAAGACTGCCCAAAACAAAGCTGCAGAACTCTACACCTGCTCCTCTCTGTGTGAATTGGGTGATACCTTACCAGTTGAGTCCATTTCATTCCATAGATTGGTTTGCCATCTGAAAAGGCCATTTCATCAAAAAAAATAAAGGACTTAAGTTGTCCTACATCACTAATGAACAAATAAAGAAGTCTGCTTTAAATGAAATATTTTTACTTATCCTTGATCTTCAAACAAAACACTTAGAAAAACATAACATGCATGTGTGACAAATACAATTGACCCCTAGCCATCCTTTGGTTCAGACTGACCAAGAAGCAACAAGCCTCACATCCTTGGGATGAACTTGCAAACTGGAAAGTCCCTGGCTCATCTACAAGAGAGTGAAGGTGTCTTGAAAAATTTTTCAAAAAGATGCTTTCGAAACCCGAAAGTACAAGATAACCAAAGTACAGAAAGAGCTATCAGCACTAAATCAAAGACACCTGTCTTGCCCATACTATTGATTAGAAGTCAATTACTTCACCCTTTAAATATTAAAATCAGGATGGGCTCAATCTGAGCACTCCCTGAATGCCAGACTGTTCGACAGCTGGCCTGCATGGCAGGTGACTCTGTTTTGACCAGGGACTCATCTCAAATTTAGAGATTCCATACTGGAAATTAAGAGAATTTTCCTTACAAAAGGTCAAGAGACCCTTTACCTTTGATCTGCAGTAAGTGGAAATTAAAAGAACCTTCCTTACAAAAGGTCAAGAGACCCCTTACCTGTGATCTGCAGTAAGTGACTGAAAGCACGCTGAATTTATGCTGTGGAGAATAACTAATCCATGCAGCTACTCAGATAGTATAAACATTGCAGTGATAATTCCATTAGGCATCAATTGGTAACAAAGTCTGAGACAAAGATTGGATACAGCCACACATAGGCTCCAAAAAGGAATTCCAAAAAGGGATCCACTCTGAACCTCGTCTCTCCACAGGAGGGCCCTCTTTACTCCTTGGACCTCTGGTCTCTCTCTGAGTCATTCTAAGTCAGTTTTCCTTTTCATGGTTCTTCCATGTGTAATTATTAAGGTAAACCTTGTCAGAACCAAACCTTGTCAGAACCAAACCTTGCAGAACACTGTTAAAACTTTGCTAAATTCCATCAGACCCATCAAACTCTGTCAAATTATTGTTTTACCTCAGTAAAACATAGTGCTGCTTCTCTCTTTTGAGTGAGGTGTACCCTGCTCATCTGCAGCAGGCTGTAACTACAGATACTTATTTACACAGTGATACTGACCGGCATCACAACCGAAATTTGATCCAGTGTCCCCATAACAGGTGCAGAAAGGACCTCTTGATACAGGAATAATAATTGCCTATGAAAAAAATATGAGAAAGAAATTTAAAATGTTATTTTCTCAGCTTAAATTTATTTTCCTCACCTTTTGCAAACACAATATATTCAATTTTTAATCAGTTTCCATTGGTTCAGTATAACAAATTGGATTAGTCCAAGTTACTTACTCTAGATGACCCACAGTGGTCTGAGACAAAGATTACAGGACTTTAGCACACAAATGGAGCTCTCCAAAAGTGTTGCTTTTGGCAGAATTTCTCATTTCTGCCCTTTTCTTTTAAAGGGAATAACATAATGCTTGGTGAATGCTAAGGAGCCTACATCTGCTTTCCAAATAGTCTTTCCACTTATTCTCAACCTACATGAATCATCCCAGCTTTGCAGGTAAACACAGATTCATTTTAGCCATTTACTAATTGGAAGTATGTGGATTCATTAGTTTTAGGCTATGATATTTAGAACAAAATAGAAATTTTGGTTTTGTTCCCCAATAACAAGCAAGTCCCCTGCCCAAAGAAAAAAAAAGAAAAGCTATTTTAAACAATTTTGTACTGTTTGCCACTGATAAGAATTTTGCTGATTTTATTACAGTTAATTCTAGTACAGCTAACAAAATATTTGAAAAACAACCACTAGCAGCTTCTGGAAATAATAGCCCTCAAAACTCTTTACCTGCAAGTCTTTATCTGTGTGCTCCTTGCCTGAGTTTCTGGTATCTGAGAACTCAGTGTTACTGTAGCAGCACAGAGTTTTTGCAGCTCAGGCAGACTGACAAAGAACAGAGACTGGTGTCTGGTGCTATTCATGGTGTGCTGTTGACTGCCCTGAAGCAGCACCTGGGTCTTAAAGTAAAAAAAAAAATTCATTTTTGTAAGGCAGGTAGGTATTTGTTTACAGAACTTTATATGTTATTAGGTAAAATGAATAATCAATTATCTTTTGATTAAGAATATAGAGAAAATATAACATAATTTGGTCACCTAAAACAGCTGAATATATATATGTATTTTTATGTATATATAATGCATTATACTTGAAAAAAAAAATTATTTGCAATAGTCAAAATATTCAGAGTAAAGACAAAGACAAAAGAACACAGAGTATGTGTATGATGCTTGCCATATTAACTGAGTGCATGCAATGGAACTCTGTCATTTTCGGAACTTCCTAAAAACCACAGAAAAGAACCCAAAGAACAGAATTTCAAACGAAGAATATGATTCTTTGATGCAGTACTAACAAATTACACGTGAATGGGAATAACATGAATTCATATTGCCCATCTTGTTGAGTGCCTGTGGTGTGCTCTTTTGCCCTGCAGCACAAGCCAGGTTCAGTGTAATGACAAAACAAATTTAACATTTCATTACTTGAAGAAAAATACACCCTTTAACTGTATCACCTTTTCCAATCAAAGTATTTCAAAGAAATACAGGTAGTTAGAAAGCCAGGAATGAATATTGCACACCAGAAAAAGCTGGTTTGTATATTAAAAGGTTTAGTATTTCTCCGTCTCCAAAACCTAAAACTATTTTAGGAAATGGTCTCACCAGCACAGTGAGGACAGCAATAAACATTTTGATCCCAAATTTTATGAACTCACCAGGTATTCACCTGAAAAGCAATTTTGTAAATTGTGATAAAACAATTAAGAACAGGAAGCAAATTTGGAGAAAAAATGTCAGATAACTTCGCTGTTCTGATTTTCCTCTGCTTTATTCACAGTGTAACACTTAAAACAGATTAACCTCCATCATATTCAAGAAAAATCACAAGGTGAGTGTTTTATAACTGTCATTTAAAAGAAAATAATGCTTTCTTATTTCTTACCCTTAAAGGAAAACACATTTCATTGTTTTTCAGCAGTCATGAAAAGCGAGGTTTTTTAAAATGCCAGCCAAGACTATCACTTCATCAGAAAATTCCAAAAGCTACAGCTCAAGGGAAAGCTCAATTTTTTAAAAAAATGAGAAAAAAAATATTGTCCTTTTGCAACCATAGAAAAGAAAGCCCGAGTCCAAGGATTTCATAATGTTTATTGGGGTTTTTTGTGGCAGAGATGTTGTAAAACACATGCTACAATGCTCCGGTGCCCTGCTTGCTGTTTGAGGATGACTCCCCCTGTGGGAACAATTTGCTGTATTAAGCCTAAGTTAAATCTTCTCAGACATCTTAAAAGCTAATGGGACAGAGTGCTTGCAAAAGACTTCTCCCTTCAGGGGAGAGGATAAAGAGAAAAGCAGCAGTTAACACAGAGCTGCCAGTTAAGAAAGAACTACTGGTTATATATCATCGGAAATGAACACAACGCCCTCTGTACAAGAGGATTTCACGTGTGTGGGAGAAATCGGACCTTTACGTGCCAATAATCACAGCACCTGAACCTGAAACCTGAGCTCCTGCTAAGCTGAAGGGAACATCAGTCAAGGAATGGCTATCCCTGTCTTTTCTGTCTGAACAGGCAACTAAACCCCAGAGCTCGGCAGCAGTATTTGCAATTTTCAGTAACAACCTGGAAGTCGTACTGAAGAACCTCCTCATTAAAACTGGGAACAACACCGATCTGAGGGAGAGCAGCTACTCTTACTGTCAGGCTGACTGAAAAGCTGAGGCAGGATCTGAAGATGGTGGTGACATTCCATGAAGTGTGAAGCTGTCCTGCACTCAGGAAGGGTGACAGGTCACACTGGGTAAACTTTAAGCTACAACAAAAATCCCCACAAATCCAGCCTGAGTGTGTCCATGGGGCTAATTGCTGCTGAGGGACCCAAGTTATGCATGGATGTGACGTGGGGATGTGGGGACCCATACTGGCCTGAAACACAGACAAAGCCATGGAACACATCTGAGACCAGAGCAAAGGAAACATATTTTACCTCAGCCAAAACCGCAGGGAAACAGGAGGACAGAGCCTCACCGAGAGAAGGGAAAGGCACTGCTCCCTGCGCCCTCAGCCCGCCTGGCAGCAAAGCAGGGCAGTGCCACAGGGAAGCCTCGCTCCAAGCCCCGCGGGGGAGCTCTCCCAAGGCGCGGCGAGGGACTCGTGCGACAGCCGGGAGGTTCTGAGGAGCTGTGTGGAAGCACCTGTGGCAGGGGCGCTCCCGCCGGGATCGCCTCACGGGCTGCGCGGGAAGAGCGGCAGCCGCGCTCCCCCCGCCTGCGGGCACCGCCGCCTGCCGGGATCAATGAGGGTCTGTGACTTCCCGGGCAGCCCCTGCCTGCTGGGACACCGGCAGGAGAGGGCAGGGTGCTGGGGCGGCCAAGCGCCGGGCACAGCCCCGGCAGAGCCGCGTTGCGTGCGGGTGTAGCTCAGCCCGCGCCCGGCGCTGCGTGTGCCCATGGCAAGGGCGCTTGAGCCGGGCACAGGCGGCTCTTCGCCGAGCCGGGGCGCCAGCGGAACCAGGACAATTCAGCTTAGATGTTAGGGAAAAATATCTTCACTGCGAGGGTGCTGAGGCACTGGAACAGGCTGCCCGGGGAGCCTGAATCACAGAAGCACAGATTGTTAGGGCTGGAAGGGACCTCTGGAGATCATCTAGTCCAACGCCCCCGCCAAGGCAGGGTCAGCTGGAGCAGCCTTCACGGGATACGGGTCGGTGTTGAACGTCTCCAGAGAGAGGGACGCCACCACCTCCCTGGGCAGCCCCGACCGGCCCATCTCCGCCACTCTCAATGTAAATGTCTTCACGTTAAGGTGAAACTTTTTGGTTTTTAGTTTACGGCCATTGCTTCTCATCCTGTCTAACTGAAAAGAGTGTGACAGCTCCCTGAGTCTCTTCCCATAAGAAGTGCTATAGACTCCTAAACATCTTTTTGGCCCCGTGCTCTCTCCAGCATTTCGTTATCTTTCTTGTACTGGAAGTGTCCAAGGTCAGGCTGGATCGGACTTTGAACAATCTTGTCTAGTGGTCCCCGTATCAGGGGAATTAGAACTAGATGACCTAAAAGGCCCCTTCCAACCCAAACCATCCCAATGCGGGATGCATTGCAAGTTGGCGATTAGCTCGTCACAGCAGGCCCGCAGCCCGCGGCGGCGAACGCTGGCCTGGCCACTGCGGGCATGGGACAGCAGCGAAGCTCCGACTGCCCCCGCCCCGCCCCGCCCCGCCCGCCGGTCACGTGGGACGCCAAAGTCCCTCCCACGGGCGCCGCCAGGCTGCCCGTCTGCTTTGAGTGGCATTGCCCTCCGCCAATGGGAGGCCGGCAGGGCGGAGGGGCGGGGCGGCGGCAGGCGCTGATAGGGCCTGCGGCGGGGCCCCGGCGCTGTGCGCGCTGTCGGCCTGTGGTGCGGGACAGGAGCGGCGATGGTGGGCTCCAGCGAGACCGGGAAGGAGCCGTGGCGGGGCCGCTACTACCGGCTGGAGGAGGTGCAGAAGCACAACAACAGCCAGAGCACCTGGATCATCATCCACAACCGCATCTACGATGTCACCAAGTTCCTGGACGAGGTGGGTGCCCGTGTGGCCGGGCCGCTGTGGGCAGCGGCGCCCCGCGGGGCGGGCTCCCCGGCGGCTGCTCGGCTCGCCGCGCCCTGCCCCGGCGGGCTTCGGCGCCGCGGGAGCGCCCTGGAGGAGCAGCCGCGGGGCGGGCCCGGCTCGGGCGCCTCTCGGGCAGGGGAAGCCCGCGAGTGCCGCGCTCCGGCTGCGCTGCTGTGCGCCCGCCCGAAACTTTCGGGGCTGAATTTCCTGTAAAAAAGGACCAGGAGAAAAAACTGGCGTCAGTACTGAGAGCTGAGATGGGTGGGCTGGCTGCGTGAATCTTGGCTGCCATGAGTGGGGCTGCTTCTTGCTTTGGTGTGCCAGCTGAAAAGCGAGTTAAAAGTGAAAACTCAGCTGGGACCCAGAGCCGTATTATCTTATGAACTAAAGGGTCAGCAACTCCTCTCTTGACACCATTGTAGTGTGTGTTGTATTGTGGAACAGGAAAGAGGCTTCACAGAGTCAAAGTTCCCAGAAATATCACAGGTCTTGGGGTTACTCTGACAGTCACAGAATCACAAAATAGTTTGGGTTGGAAGAGGAGTTAAAGCTCATCTCATTCCAGCCCCCTGCCAAGGGTAGTGACACCTTTCACTAGACCAGCTTGCTCCCAGTCCTGTCCTTGCACAGGTCCAGGGATGGGGAATTCCCAACTTCTCTGTGCAACTTGCGCCAATGCCTCACTCCTGCTTCAATGTAAAAAAATTCTTCTGTATATCCAGTCGCTGGTAAAGCCTCTTGGTCACAGTGGCTTGTGCTCCTATCTGCCAAATTTGTACATCCTGGGTACCCTTAAGACCTGGGTGGTCTTTTTTTGCAGGACATGGCATTACATACAGGCAGCCAGCTTCAGAAAATTAGGGTGGCTCTCACTGCTGCCCTGATCCAATCGGTGTGGGGATGCAGTGTGGTGCTGCAAAGCTGCACCAGTTCCAGCTCTAGTGTAGACACTAGAGTCGAGTTCAGTTCCTTCGGCTGTGTTTTGTTGGGCTTTTTCCTTCCCAGTTAGTGATTGATGGTTTTGATCTCTGGCAGACAGCAGTTGGTGTAATCATTGATAGTCATGGTTAATAACCAAGCATTTTAGTTGTTGGACTAAAACATTATTCAATGGAAATGCAGGAATGAAACTGCCACTTTTTTTTCAGTAATTGAATGCTGCTGGGATTTAGCTATTTTGTGTTTTCTCCCTTGCTCTGTATTCCAGTTATCTAAGGTAGACTCACAGGATCAATTTAGTTGGGAAAGACCTCTGAGGTCTCATCCAGTCTTTGACCAAACAACACTGTGTCAGTTAGACCATGGTAGTAAGTGCCACATCCAGTCTT